AAACAATTCAGCGTTTTGTGCTTCACATGCAAAAAAAAGTTTCCAAAAACATTCCCGCGTAAGCTTTGTGACACAATCCTCACAGCAAGCGCCTTTCACTTCTGAGATCGTGGGTTCGATTCTCTCTGCGGACCGGCATATCGGACGCCCGACGTGGGTTTATTCCGGTACGCCGGTTTCCTTCCACAGGGAATGTTGATAAGGTGTGTTAGCTTTGACCCTTATCTGACCCTTAGCCTTAAACTCGATCAGCTTTTAGCCTGCAAACAGGCGTTTATTCAGGTGTTACAATCCCACCAGAATAAACGCCTGTTCGCAGGCTAATCAGCTTTGAGCTGCGTTCGTGCAAAATACAAATAGCGATCTTAAGATTCTACGACGCGGCAGTCTACAACGCGCTAAATTTCCGCGTTGCAGCCTGAGGAGAACAACGTCTGCGTATTGTAAAAAGTAGATTAAGATCTCGCGCTTTCAACTACGCGGACGTGTGTATTTTATAGACAACTGTTCATCAAGATGTGTTCATTTAGGCAAGCTAGGGAAGCCGCTATTTTGGCTTATGACTCTTCTTTTATTGATGAAGATGAGTTCGTACTTCTTTACGACATGTGTCATTCAAAAAACCCCGAATTACCGTACCAAAACTACGAGAGTTTTGAATTGGACAACATCGACGAAGCTGAATGCGAGGTTCAATTTCGTTTTAAAAAACATGAAGTTCCTGTTCTTGCTGGTGCGATGGGTGTGCCTGGACGATTCACATGCCCACAAGGAACTATTTGCGACGGAATGGAGGCTCTGTGCATGCTGTTGCAGCGATTTCGCTACCCGTGTAGGTATAGTGACTTGGTTTCGACGTTTGGTAGACCCGTCCCAGAGCTAAGTATGATTACAAACCAGGTTTGGATTTTATTTATGACCAACATGCTCACAGGCTAACACAGTGGAACGACCAGCTGCTGAGTCCTCGATGCCTTCGAAGATATGCCGAAGCAGTGGCTCGTAAAGGGGGTGCATTGGCGAATTGTTTTGGTTTTATTGACGGGACAGTGAGGGCAATATGTCGCCCTGGGCAAATGCAGCGGTTGGTTTACAATGGTCATAAGCGTGCCCTTGCATTGAAATTTCAGGCATTAGCGCTACCTAATGGCTTAATTGGAAACTTATTTGGACCTGTAGGTATGTTCACATGTTTATTTAATTTTTATTGTTTACATCACACACCCACGTTATTCCCCCAGAGGCTAAAATCCTGTAGCGTAGCAACAAAAAGTGTGGTTTTTTAATATCATCAACTTTGATAGTGTTTTACTGTAATATTGTATTTATTATATATTGTACGTAAAACGTTAAATCCATGGACCATGATATTCATACACCTTTTGCAAAAAGGATAACACAATAGGACTGTAAAAGGTTTGTTTAATTAATTCTTCTTTTGCATAATATTTTTAGAGGGAAGAAGACATGATTCTGCCATGCTTGTTGATTCAGGCTTGTTGACTGCTCTAGAAGAGCATGCATTTGGTGATGGCCAGCCTATGTGTGTTTACGGTGACCCGGAATACCCTCTTCGCATACACCTTCAGGCACCGTATAGAAACCGCCCATACATAACACCACATGCAGATGGAAGCCTTCAACAAGTCAATGAGCATTGTTCGTGTTGCAGTTGAATGGTTGTTTGGAGACATTATAAACTATTTTAAATTTTTGGATTTAAAAAAAAAATTGAAAATTGGCCTAAGCAGCATTGGAAAGATGTATGTTGTTGCAGCAATTTTGAGAAATGCTCTAACTTGTATGCATACCAACAACACCTCAAAGTTCTTTGAAGTTGTCCCCCCTGCCATTGATGAGTATTTTGCATGATTTTATCAATATATGACCCACTATTATGTGAATGTCATTGACTTTCCCAACAAGGTTGGACCCTGGCAGTGCTGGGGTGAATTATTGGCTTTGTAGGGACTTTGCATGTAACGTCTCTTGCCTGAAATGTAAGGGAAATGGGTGGCTTTATCTATTTTTATATGTCTAGGTAACTATATATAGCTAAGTAGTGTTGGCAAAATGTATATTATTGTTGCTGCAATTTTAACAAATACATACCCTTACTTGCATGCAACCTAATAACACTTCAAAGTTTTTTGAATTTGAACCACCAACTGTCGAGGAGTTACTTCTATTAATTAAGCCAGTTTTCCACTTCAGTTGTATCGTACCAAAACATGGTCTATTTCTTTGTTTCCTAAGCAATGACTTTGGCTATTTTAAATTTTTAGATAAAAGCTTAAAGCTGCATTACAAAGATTTATGTTGTTGCAGCAATTTTGAGAAATGCTCTAACTTGTATGCTTACCAACAACATCTCAAAAGAAAATGCTATATATGGCACATTACGATACGGTTGAAATGGAAAACAGGCTTTAAGGATGGCTTATATATTATCAGGTTTGAGATTTTGACACTCATAATATACATGATAAATATTTATACTCAATTCTGATTGGCTAAGAGCTGTGCAATTGTTTCAAAATACAGTGCCAAAAAATGAAATACAATGCAAATTTCATTGACAATGGCTGGCATTTTTAGTAGATTTTCTATTAAAATTATTTATATTAACCCTTTAAGTGGCAATGTGCCCGCCCCATGAAGATGTGCCCTATACATCTCTATTATTTTACTGTCTTGTGCCAGGCAATTTTACTTGTCATGGGGAGAGTGCTGCCACTCAATGAGTTAAAATTAACTATTTTGCATGTGACCTATGCACGCATGTGACTGCATAATTTTTCATGTGTATTATTTATTAGTAATAGTATGGTTTCTTGTGCAATTTGGAAAAACATACAGTCTTGTGAGTTTTTCAAAGACTTCAAATTGCACGTGTCCATTTTGATCGTCTTTGAGACACGGCCCTATGAAAATCATTATGAATTGATACCTGGTTACCGTGTATAAATTAGATAATTAAATACAAATACTCATGCATGTTTTCCCAAATTGTACTTGAAACCACACTACTACCTATACTAATATACTGTATATAATATTTAACTTTTCAATAATATAATAATTATGTATAATAATTGTGTAAATAACATTTCAATATAATGATCATTTTTTAAGTAACATTTCAATTTAATAATTTATAAGTAAATGACATTTCAATATAATTTATAATAACATTTTTTACAATATTCTGTAATGTAAATATTTAATATTTTCCATTATTTTTTTTTGCAAAATTCATTGAATAATTTAACATGCCAACCACAACAACAGGCCTTTAATAGTTTAATAGCAGATCTAATTTTCTTTATCAACAATCTTAGACAAAAGAGCTATTAGTGCTTGCCCTTGTTGCTGCTGTTGCTGCATTAAAACCATCTGGCTTGCTTGTACCTGATTATTTTGCTGTCTTTGCATTTCTAAAATATCAGTCAACATGTCATTCTGTTGTTGCATAAAGTTGTCTGTTTTTTCCTTTTCCATTTCCTGGCGCTCCCTCTCTAACCTGTTGCTCTCTTCCTTCAGTTTTGTTTCTTTTTCTGCCTTTTCTGCCAAAAATGCCAAGGCTGTATTACCACCCTTTCTGACTTTGCGTTTGGGACTATCTTGATCTATTTTTGTATTTCTTTTCTTGGTCTCGGATAAAGTTTCCATGGCTCTTTTTCGCATCTCTTGTCCTGCCATGTGATCTTCTTCCAAACGCCTCTTTTCCCTTTCTCCCATATCTGCAGCCAGGGTTTCTGATGCTTCCTCTTTTTCACTTATCTCCTCCAGCAGTGTGTCCAATTCTGTTAATTCAGGTGAAATTCCACTGGCTCGTCTTTCATCGTTTTCCTTTTTCCGAAACTGTTTGATTAGTTTTTTCAATCTGTCTCTGACAGAACGTTGCTCCACCTTGAATTTAGGATATTCCACTTTTTCCAAGCTTCCCATACCTGAGCTCTTTCTGCCGACCTTTTCTTGGTTTCAAAAAGCTTGGAAGTAATAACCTCTTTGCAAAATTCGACATCATGCTCATTAGTCCATTTCATTATAAAACAAACTCTGTAAATGTAATAAACATAATAAATATGAGGTGAACGTTTCGGCAAAAATACGAAGATATACATTAAATTGAGTAAAAGCAAGTTTTCAGTAATATACTTTACTGTCTTTGGGCGAACATTTCACCATTTTATGTATTTTGCAAGAAACTAAGAAAACAAGCAACACTTACCCAGACTTGGACCCTTCCTTTTCTTCCAATTCTTTCGCAGATATAGTATTTTTTTCCATTTTTGTTCTTATTTTGGTAGAAAATCTACGACGACGTGAAAACTGCAAAACGGCGTCGTCGTAGATTAGATTCGCTGAGCAAGAACGCACGCGCATGCTCAGTTGCTACAAATTTACTTCCGGTGGCGTTGTAGTCTGCCGCGTCGTAGAATCTTAAGGTCGCTAATGGCTTCCTCAAAGGAAAGGTTCGCCGGCCTTTTTTGTGTATTCCGACAAATATAAATAATAGAACAATTATTGAATTCGGTTTTCGCAGGATATGAGGAATTAGTATAATTACATAGGTGATTATTAAAAATTCTCCACGCCGATTGGTTGCCGTTCAGGTGATTATCCCCGAGCCGACGGCGCGAAGCGCCGTGCGAGGGTATTAATTCCCCCGGCTATTTATACCCGGGGAAACGAAAGCATTAGCGAAGTCTAAAGTTCATCAATAATCGCGGGCGTGGCTCACCAACGATGTTTCGGTGGGTGGTCATCCTCACTGATCTCAAAAATATGGCGGACTGTCATGAATAGCGGACACTGATTGGTCCAATTTAAAGTTTGTATTATAACGACTGCATGACGACAGCGAAATAGCAAACATTTCTTGATTTCATGATTGATATTTTTCTTGCAAATATATTTCATTTTTGCTCGCATTTTTGCAAGATTTTGTAAATTTCAAAAGCTTTCTCAAACGAAAAGGCGAAAGGATCGGCTAATAAAATGAAGGGAGCCGACGTTGACGAAGGTAAGTTTGTTTTAAATATTGATTTTATAATTGCTTTAAAACCCGACGGCCTTTGCGTATATGAAACAACTAAACAAGACAGCATATAATTTCAGTGTATCTTTAATATTGATTCCCTTTTTTATTATATTGAATTTTTTATTAAATAAAAAAGAAAGCAAAGTTATTTAGCCTACATCTACATGAAATCATTTTATTGCAAAGTCAAAGTTTATCGATAAAGCCATTTAATTAAAGACAGTTTAGAAGAACACTTTAAAACGTTTTGCAAAGCGTTTGTGGTTGAATTTTACCTTAAATTGAAGCTTATATTACGCACAATAATATACCTGACATATAAATGTTGGGAAATTGATAATTTTGTAATTAAAGTGATATTTGTAGGCAATTTTCATTAATTTGTATGAATATTCTTAAAAAATTATCGTGTTACCATGACAACTACTTTATATACTTCATGTTCGGAAAATGCAATGGTTTTGTCAGCAAGGCGAGGGTTTCTGCATGCATGTATTTTCTAGTTACGCGGTAATCACCTAAGCGATTTTCGAAATGGCGGTCGAAGCCTGTTTGTCAATTAAATGACGAAGAAATGTGTATTTTTAATTTTTTTCCAAATAATCACCTACGAAATTATATTAAAACAATTATTCGCCTCAGGCTCGGTGATTATCGATGAAAAAGAGCCTCGACTTCGTCTCGGTTTTTATTCTCCGATAATTACCTCGCCTTCGGCGAATAATTATTAATTATTAAGGCCTCGGTTTGTGTTATCCGGACTCAGCCATAATAAACCTCAGTCTCAATAATTCCTCATAACCTACTCGACCCCATTCAATAATTGTTTATTAGCACACTCACACTTACTTACCAACTTACCTTGTTTAGTTGGTGAGGATCTTGGACAAGGTTCGTAGTCTTGAATCTGAAAATCAAATTAATTCTAACGATTTGTTGCCAATAAATGGGACCAGGTGGATGAAGATGAACGGTCTGTAGTGAAACAACACATTGTTGAACAATTGAATCTGTATTGGCCAGATGGAAATCCAGTTGCGCAAACAGTCTATATTTCAACAAAAGATGCTCTGAAGGAGCAAAAACGTGGCCGTGTCACTGAAGAATATGATGTTTTACTGGAAGGAGTAAAGTCCATGATTTTGAAGGCTATTAACAGCAGATTGAATAACCACTGGACGTGAGTATCTAGCTAGCTGCCTAGACATTAATTCACACGCCAAATCTCAAATATATACATAAATGTCGAGTTATACATACCCGATCAATTGTTGTCAGTTCTGAACTGCCCTCCTCATATGTCCAAAAAAGGGCCATCTTTTCTTCAAGGCCTATTTCCGATCAAGAAAAATTTCCACGGACAGAAATTTTCCGAAAATATCATTGTTAAAAGTTGAAAATTTTCAACTTCATGCAAAAATTTTTTCCGACGGAAAATTTGTGTTGGCCAACCGAATTTTACAAAAATGTCTTTCTGTGGACAATTTTGAGTGGAAATGCCCTTATACCCGTTTTCAAAATTACGCGACCAAAGACGAAAATGCTAGAGTTGACATGTCAGTTTTATGTCATTCGATCACGAAGTTCAAACTTTGAGTTTTGCGGTTCCTTGTCGATGTATATGCTTTGTATGCTTTATATAAACAGACTTACAATGATTTTCAAGATATTTTAGTGAGAATTATTGTAAATAAATTTAAGCACGACAAAATCATAACATCACCGTTATAGTCTATTCCAGGATAAATTGTTATTTTTCAAACTTTAAAAGTCATTCACGGCACATATTTATGTTGTGATGGTTTGTATCGTGCTTTAGTTTGTATATTTAAATTATCTGACTCATTTTTGGTCAGTTTTGGTATTAAATACGGTTTAAAATGTCTTTAGACAGCTTGTTTACGTTTGCTATTTTTAGCAGTTCTTGTGACATAAAACTGACATTTGAAGTAGGAGTATTTTTCAGGGAGGTCGCGTAATTTTGAAAACGGGTGTAATTCCTGGTGGGACTAGCTAACAGACGTGAGTCGTGGGTAGAATGTCGTGGGCGAGAAAAAAGTCGTGGGACGCGAGAAAAAAGTCGTGGGTCCCGAATAAGAAATCGTGGATCCCAAGAAAAAGTCGTGGGTTCCAAGCAAAATATTTCCGTATATTTACCTTTTTTCTTTTGGAATGCGTGTTTTTTTTTTCTGAGGCTTCCCCAAATGTACGTAGAGCGCATATTAAAGGGTTGTTGATATCGGTAGATAGGTTTATAAATATTACTAGAAAATACATACATGCAGAAACCCTCGCCTTGCTGACAAAACCATTGTATTTTCCGAACATGAAGTATCTAAAGTAGTTGTCATGGTGACACGATCAGTGTAACCATATTCAGTATATTTTTTTACTTTTGGTAAAATTTCGACAATTTTGATAGAAATTTGATAAAAAAGATTTTTTAGTAAAAAATTTTGGTAAAAATTTCTTAAAATTCAAGGATTTAAAGTTTGTTCGTTCACTGCAACCAAGTATATCAATCATGTTTCGCTCGCTACTCTGGTTTAAATAAATGACTACAAAGCCCAGTCGAATTGTAATCAAGACCCAACGTTTCGACACTCCAGTCTAGTGTCTTCATCAGGGGTGATCTAAAATTGCAATCGTGGCTTCTTAAATACACAAGGGATGACGTCACCTGCCAATGAGATGCATATATTCCTCTGGCAAATAGGCACCGTCATCCCTATTCAAAGCATAATTACTCATATTTATATGCCACGCTTCTAGGCAAAATCTTTGACAATAGTGATTGTTTGTGGTAATTACTTTAGAGTTTTCCCACGCAATCTCGTGTTTGGTGTAACATACATGTTCGGCTAAAGCTGATTTCCCCTTGTCTAAAGTTGAAACAGCCTTTTGATGTTCTTTTAGCCGTGTACCAAATCGGCGTTTAGACTGACCCAAATACTCTTTCTCGCAGTCACCGCATGGTATAGAATATACAGCATGAGTTTTCTGATTTGTTTTAACAGGATCTTTTGGCTTTGCGAAAATATGGCCTAAAGTCAAATAGGGTTTTAAGGCAATCTTAATATTACAATTACTTAAGATTCTCTTGATTGGTTCTGTGATCATGACACCTTGAATGTATGGAACTATTGCATAACCCTTAACAGAGGTATCACCCTCGGTGTTATTTTGGTTCCTACAAACAGGTGATCTCAGGCAATCATTAAGAAAACGTTTTGGATAATCGTTTTCCTCTAAAATATTTAGAACATATTCACGTTCATTAGCTTGAGAATCACCGTTTGACGGCAAGGATTCAGCTCTTTGAAGCAAAGTTTTTCCTACGGATCTTTTATGGCTTACTGGGTGATGAGAGTCGTATGACAAGTATTTTGTCTGTGTGTGTGGGTTTGCGATAAACACCAGTCTCTAACTTCCCTTCGACAGTTTTGTGCACATTCAAATCTAAAAAAGCTAAATGTCCATTTATCTCACGTTCTACCGTGAATTAGATGGACGGCTCAATAAAATTAAAATGTTGCAGCAGAATATCGATTTCATTTCTAGAAACCGTGGAGATGACATCATCGACGAAACGTTTCCAAAACGGTAGAGATACCGGAACAGAGGCCAAAGCTCTTTGTTCGACATCTTCCATTACTAAATTAACAATTACTGCCGATACTGGTGACCCCATTTCTGTTCCAAAAACCTGTTGATAATAACAGCCCTCAAACACAAAGTATGTGGTGTTGAGACAAAAAGACAGAAGATCAATAATATCTTCTACAGGCAAGGATGTTCTTTGTAACAAAGTGGCATCCTGTCTTAGTCTTTTTGTCGCAACCTTGATGGCAAGATCAACTGGGATGTTTGTAAACAAGGAAACGACATCAAATGATACCAAAACTTGATCTGCTTTAAGAGTTTTACCTCTTACAAATTCTGCAAAATGACAGGAATTTTTGACGGTGTTTTCGGTCATCTCCACCACAGGGGACAACATTTTCGCCAAAAAACTTGAAACTCCATATGTAGGAGAATTCACAAAGGACACAATAGGTCTCAATGGAATTTCTGGTTTATGGATTTTCGGTAAACCATAGAAACGCGGAGATAGTCCATCACTGCTGTATAACTTTTCATATGTAGCCTTGCTGATAATATTGGATTTCTTCAAAAGAAGTAACTTGGCGTTTAAACCTCTTTGAGTCTTTCCAGTAGGATCAGACTTGAGAATAGAATACGTATTTCTGTTATTCAACAGTGAAAAAGAGCCTTCTCTCTTCAAGCTAATGAACGTGAATATGTTCTAAATATTTTAGGGGAAAACGATTACCCAAAACGTTTTCTTAATGATTGCCTGAGATCACCTGTTTGTAGGAACCAAAATAACACCGAGGGTGATACCTCTGTTAAGGGTTATGCAATAGTTCCATACATTCAAGGTGTCACAGAACCAATCAAGAGAATCTTAAGGAATTGTAATATTAAGGTGGCCTTAAAACCCTATTTGACTGTATGCCATATTTTCGCAAAGCCAAAAGATCCTGTTAAAACAAATCAGAAAACTCATGCTGTATATTCTATACCATGCGGTGACTGCGAGAAAGAGTATTTGGGTCAGTCTAAACGCCAGTTTGGCACACGGCTAAAAGAACATCAAAAGGCTGTTTCAACTTTAGACAAGGGAAAATCAGCTTTAGCCGAACATGTATGTTACACCAAACACGAGATTGCGTGGAAAAACTCTAAAGTAATTACCACAAACAATCGCTATGGTCAAAGACTTTGCCTAGAAGCGTGGCATATAAATATGAGTAATCATGCTTTGAATAGGGATGACGGTGCCTATTTGCCAGAGGAATATATGCATCTCATTGGCAGGTGACGTCATCCCTTGGGTATTTAAGAAGCCACGATTGCAATTTTAGATCACTCCTGATGAAGACACTAGACTGGAGTGTCGAAACGTTGGGTCTTGATTACAATTCGACTGGGCTTTGTAGTCATTTATTTAAACCAGAGTAGCGAGCGAAACATGATTCAAGGATTTGGTAACTTTTTTGGTAAAATTCTATTAAGACGTTTGATGATGACCAGAAAACTCTGCAAAGTGCAAAGTACATGCCTTCCTGATGCTGTGGCGATGGCTCACTTCTGAATCGGAGGCTGTGTTCTGTTTGCTCATTGCATGCTTCAGGTTACGTCATTTAATTTGTCACCTCTTTTGAACAAATAACATGAAGTAGCGCACGCAGCTGAAAATTGGGCATTTGACGAATTTCATTTCGAAATTGCAAACTTATATTTAAAAATATGGTTTTAATCGATAGTACTTTGTCTGAATCAGAATCCGAAACTGATTCAGACAAAATGCTATCCATTAACCCCCAAAAAAAAAACTGGTAAAAATCCATATCTGGTAAAATTTTGGCCTATTTAGTAAAATTTTAGCAAAGGTTTAGTAAAATCCGCTGACAAACAATTGGTCACATTGGACACGATAATTTTTTAAGAATATTCTTGCAAATGAAAAATCGCCTAAAAATATCACTTTCAATTACAAAATTATCAATTTCCCAACATATATATGTTAGGTTGTTATTATTAAACGTAATATAAGCCTCAATTTAAGGTAAAATTCAACCACAAACGCTTCGCAAAACGTTTTAAAGTGTTCTTTATAAAACTAAACTGCCTTTAATTAAATGGTTTTATCGATAAACTTTGAGTTTGCAACAAAATGATTTCAAATTCTCGTTTGCAAATAACTTTGCTTCCTTTTTTATTTAAAAAATTCAATATAATAAAAAAGGGAATACACTGAAATTATATGCTGTCTTGTTTAGCTGTTTCATATACGCAAAGGCAGTTGGGTTTTAAGGACATTATAAAATCAATATTTAAAACAAACTTACCTTCGTTAACGTCGGCTCCCTTCTTTTAGCCGATTCTTTCGCCCTTTCTTTCTTGAAATT